GGGTATCCGCCTTATTTTTCTGGCAAATGACGCATTCGGCTATGAATTTTTGGACCGAATTCCGCATGCCTTTCCAGTGGAATTGGGTGGCTAGTCTCTTGTAAGTGCGCAAAATCCCCGAGTGTCCTCCTACTGGTGATGAGTGGAACACTTCCAGAAACTGCTGAATATGGGTTGAATCCTGTGGTATCACCATTCGACATTTATACAGCAGCAAGTTATTCTCCACTGTGTATCCTGGGTGGCTAGTAGGGTCCTCTTGGACCTGTGAACGCAGCTTGCTCAGTTGTGGGTATCCTTCAGCTTCTTCCCTTAACTGACTCATGATGGAGCATGTTGGGCCTGTGAAAAGTAATGGAAATAGTTGTGGTTGGCGTGACAGTGCATCCACCACCTTGTTAGTGTACCCTACCTTGTATTTAATGACATAATCGTAGCCGAGTAATTTGGCTATCCATCGCTGCTAATCCGGGGATAGTACGGACTGCTCCAATAGAAATTTCAGGCTATGGTGGTCAGTTTGTATGATGAACCTCCTCCCTTGAAGGTAGGGCCGCCACCTCTGAACTGCGAGAACAACTGCTATCAGTTCGCGTTCAAATACTGACTTGGCCCATTTCTGTGTTGTCATTGCTTTGCTGAAAAAAGCTAGTGGCCTTTCTTCTTGCATGAGAACCGCACCTACTCCTTGGTTTGACGCATCACATTCAATGATGAAGTCCTTTGAGAAGTCTGGAAGTGCGATCGTCGGTGGGGACGAGACAGTTGTTTTGAGAGTCTCGAAGGCCTGTTGGGCCTCCCTAGTCCAGCAGAAACCATTCTTCTTAAGTAAACTTGTCAAGGGGGCAGCAATCAGTCCATACCCTCTGATGAATCACAGGTAGTACCCTGTTAGACCCAAGAAGCCCCGTTACTCCTTAACATTTTGAAGTCGGAGCCAATTTATCATGCTTGAGATCTTTTTTGGGTCTGCTGCTACAATGCCATTTTCGACTATGTGCCCTAAGTAGTGTACTTGCGTCTGTCCAAATGCGCACTTTGACTCCTTTGCAAAGAGTTTATGAGTCTTTAGTAGTTCCAAAGTGATTTGTAGATGTACTAGGTGTTCATCCCATGTAGCGCTATATACAAGTATATCATCAAAAAAAAAAACGAGTATAAATTTGCGCAAATGGGGTCGAAATATGTCATCCATAAGTGCTTGGAACATAGCTGGCGCATTGGTCAACCCGAATGGCATGACCAAAAACTCATAATGCCCCTCATGTGTACGAAAAGCAGTCTTGTGGATGTCACCCTCATGGACCCGAATTTGATGATATCCCAATCTCAAGTCTAGTTTAGAGAATATGGTGGCCCTGCCAAGTTCATCTAGTAGTTCATCGATTACCGGTATGGGAAATCGATCATTCACAGTAATGTTGTTCAGGGCCCTATAGTCTATACAAAACCACCATGTCCCATCCTTCTTTTTCACAAGTAATACCGGCGAGGAGAATGGGCTTTGGCTGGGTTGTATAATTTTTCTATCAAGCATATCTTGCACTTGTCTCTCAATCTCTAGTTTTTGAAAATAGGGGTAACGATAGGGCCTTACATTTGTGGGTATCGTTCCGGGCAG